ACCTGCCAGGGTGCCAGGGGCACCTGCCAGGGGCACATGAGTTCGGCATTGGGCCAGGAGTGCTAAGATGGTCCGCCGTCGAAGCTGTGAGCCGATGCCTGTCGGACCTTGGGGGCAATTCAATGAAGACCCCAAGACCGCCTGTCCCTATGGATCCACCGACCGAACCAGGTCGGTACGGTGAGCAGGGAGACTATTGATGTAGGCGCCAGGAGGGTCCAGTCTTACCTTCTGAGAAGGTATGTGGATCCATAGGGTGTTTGGGACTGGAAGACATGCCGCCACCTGCACTACACCCCCTGCACTACACCCAGTCCCAGATGGCCGTCGTTTCGGTCCAACGACGTTTCGAAACCCGATCACAACCCGGCTCGCGAGAATGGAAGCATCCCGGCAATCACACGGAATGGGTTTGCGTGCCTTGGAGAATGAGGAATTGAAACCAACAACTATGACTACTGTAACATGTAACTAGTAATTAGACTCGAGTAACTATAAAGAGTAGTAACTATACCAGGGCCCCTGGATAGGGGTGGTTGGACATCCCGAATCACCTCTAAAAGAACTCTAATTGGACACCCCGAGTGCCCGGAACCCTGGTATATGGTGGGGTGGTTGGTGCAATGCTAGGTGCTTAGGACCCTTTTTGCTGCAATGAACTTGTGCCCTTGTCCCAGTTGCCGCAGGCTGTGCCGGCGGTGCGCAGTGGAGTGAGAGAACCATTCTCACAAACAAAGACTGTGCTGGTGAGTAACAGCAACAATGCTTGTCCACCAACATCCTCCGAGCGAAAACAGCTGACTGGAACAACTGGACTTGCAGCAGGTTGGATGTCCAATATTAATATGCGCCTCTAAAGGGCTACAGAAAGAAGTTGACCAACCATGAGGGGGCAAATCTAAGCCTGAAGCAGCGGTTGCTATGAGCCAAGCTAGACTAGATTCACCAGATGTGCTGCAATTCTGAGGGATGAAGTCTGAGATGCAGGCTCCTGAGTGCTCAGGTGCTTCTTTAACTGTTTTCTTTTTTCTCACCGTTGCCTTCCATGTCCTTGGCCACCCTTGGCCACTCCCTCCAATATGAGCTGCAGAGAAACGACCTAGCGCGGGCTGTGCTTGGAATTCCTGGCGTGGCTTGAAAGGTTGCCTTCGAGATGCTCGAGGGTGAGCTGGTAAAAATTTCACAACCCATACCAGACCCCCCAAACAGATGGTCCCCACTGAAAATATGTTGGACATCGTGCACGATCTTTTTGGGGATCACTATAAGCAATTGCGGGCTTTCAATAGCTTTCGATGGCTTTGGGGGACACCCGTTGCGGCAAGAAGAAGCGCCAATCAATGCGTGCACCAAAAAGAAGACATCCTTTCAGCAATCTATGATATCTCTACTCCTTCTACTCTCAGATGATATCTCTACTCCTTCTACTCTCAGATGATATCTCTACTCCTGCTACTCTCAGATGATATCGCTACTCCTTCTACTCCTTCTACTCTACTCCTTCCTCTACTCTCCTTCTGCTTCCATCTCGACATCCAACGAGAGCTCCCCCCTTTTCTCACCCGTCTGTGCTCCCCGTCCCGGCGTCACTGCTCTGCCACCGGCACACCCAGACACTCCTGGTATGCCCTGCTTGAATATGCCGGTTGAAAGGGGGTCAATGAGGCGGATATGACAGTCCATGGGTCGTGTCTGGCCACACGCATGGCCCACGGCATGGCGGCCACCCCACGCAGGTCCTTAGATTCGGAGATGGCGGAGTTCCTTTCGCAGCTGCCAGCAGAGCTCCTCCGCCAGGCGGGGCCCGGCGGATGGGTTTGAACACGTGATCATACCCAGGAAAAGTGGATAACCTGCAAAACCTTTTTTTGGGGAGTGGTTTCAGTGGTCTCCTCAACTAAACGGGAACAGATATAGAAAAGGGTTAACCTTTATTCGCTTTATTGCCCAGGGAAACTGAAGGAGTGAGTGCTTGCCTCATGTGGCGTGTCTTTTGTCCGAACGCCCCCCTCGCCGGGAAAAAACATATAATGCAAGGTCGTCTTTGGGGGAGTCTGCTTTTTTGGGGGTTTAATTACACCCTGGAAGATTAACATATAGCCAGCACCTGAAAACCACTGGGTTGCAAAGGAAAATAGTCTTCTAGAGTTCCATTTGCAGGTTCCATGTGGGTCTCTTCCCGGGTGTATCAAATGTTGGCCCATACTGTTTATGTGGAGCTAGAGCCTTTAAGCCTTTGGTGGTTGAACATGTGGATCAACACCATGTAGGCCTACATTGACCCCTTTTCAACCACATACATGGAGTGTTTTGAGGTCCAAGACTATTTTAAACATGCGTGGCCAGTCTTAACTTTAGGTGATCCGAGTTCGGAATTTCCTGACACCTTCGGTGGTGCCTAAAATATCTACTGGCCGTCTTACGTGCCTGCTGCGAAGCAGGGCCCCCTCCGTTTCTGCACCATTTTCGCCGGTGCCCTTCCACCACCTGGAAGAAGGAACACTCGACCAAACAGCCACTGGTTGGGCGGCCGCGCCCATTCCAATCCACAGCCCGAGTCTGACTCGGAGGCCACTGAGTCGCTGAGGGCGGGTGGCACCCAGGTTTTGGATCCTTCAACCAGCACCCGACTCTACAGGTCTCTGAAATGGAGGCTTTTGTAGACTCAGAGGTCGCAGGGTGGTGACCTGTAGAGTCGGGTCCGGTGCTGGAAGGTCGATTGATTGTGTGAATGGAAAAACGCACGACCCAAAGCATACCTTTTCATGAAGGTCATGAACACCTGAGAAAGGTGAACCGGTCAATACGACCTGCGTTTGGCTCAAGGAACAACGTGAGCGGCTGTTTTTTGTCGGTCGCTCTTGAGGCTTTTTTCCATAACCACAGGTTATGAGCCCAAGGAGCTTTTGAAGTCCACCCTCATTTGAGGTCGCTGGTCCCCATGAGCGGCTTGATGGCGCGGCGGCGGCGGTTGTCCTGTGAAGGAGGCAGGCTGAGGGATCCAGGAGATCAAGGAGGGCAACTACGTGTGGGAGCAGCTGACGAGAGGCTAGACACCCTCCTCGAGGAGGCAAGGGCAACCTCAATGCCACCTGCTGTGAAGAGAGTTGGAGGGGCTCCAGCGGCTGGTGAGGCGAGAAGATCCTCGACGGCGGCAAGCGGAGCTGATGGAAGACAACAAGGTCCAGCATCTGAACGGCATGACCGAGGAGCTGGCTGGCAGGAGACGGTGAGGCAATCCCTTGAGGTGTTGCAAAGGGCCTTTGGACCAACTTCCCAAGGACCGATGCCGGTGGGACCTCCGCCTCCTGAAGGACTTCTTGGACCTCTATTTCATGGCCGCGATCCAGGACACCCTCGCGCTGATGATCCGGGACAACCTGGAGGGCAAGGGGCTTGGCAGCGGGAGGCAGCGTCATCGCCTCAGTTTCCAATTCCGCCGAGAGCGGATAGGAGCAGCATGAATGGTGAAGGTGGTCCACAACCTAGAGTACTTGAGCCCTATGACATGTCCACACCCCATCAACATGGGCGGCAGCAGACCAATCCTTTTTGGAGTGACCGTGGACGTGCACTTGATGTGGCTTCCCGTTCTGAACGTCCTCGACCCCCTAGTGAAGAGGTGAAGAGAAGCCCGACGTCTCAGGAGCTGGAAGCCATCCGGGAGCGCATCCTTCGTGAAGCCCACTTGAACTTTGAGAAGGAGGTCAAGAAGCTGACAGGTGGTGGAGGTTCGTCGACGTTTGAATCGGCGAATAGTGTGGGCGAGCGGGCGAAACTTCGTGGTTCCACTGATGGTCAAGGTGGGAACTCTGGAGATGGTGTTGGTGAGTCACTACCTGATCGACCCCCTGGATTACATGAGACCACAACCGGGACATCGTCTTCAGGGTTTGGTGGTGGAGCAGGAAAGGTGCTTGGATGCCCGTCGTGGTTGCTAAGCCTCTGTCTCGATTGAACCTGTTTACATAGACGCCGGAACCATGGTTACAATTGAGGCAACCATGGGTTATCAGATTTATAAACATGGTTAAGGTGTCCAACCACACTGTCATGTTTACTAAAAAAGTTAGGTTTTTGATAAATGGTTAGCAAACCTGCAAATTATTTATTAGATGGAAAATACTTTTTTAATAGCGTTTAGCCTATTTCACTTGAAGTGGGCTAATCGTGTTGGCTTGTTTAGCACACTTAGCTAAACGTGACTGTCTTGTTTACACAACAAAGATAAACGACTCTGGCCTACTCATAAGTAGGTTTATAACCGTGCAAAAATTGTGTTTTTTTGGTCCGTGGGATCGATTTTTTTTGATTTTGCTGGCCGTGGAAAGTGTTTGTCGGCATGCGAGCATCGGGTTTTTCAATTTCCGCTCCGCGCTCGATCGTAAACATATCAAGCTGGATAAGTTGCATGACAGGAACATTCCATGGAAAGGGGAGCTGTACCTTTGTACAGTTAGGTTTCGGGTTGCTAGCAGTAGGGAAATGTTGGGACACACATATTCAATTTTTGAAGTCTCTGACAATGTGTTTCTAGCGTGCACAATATACAAGGTCATGAAACCGCGCACTCCACACCGATCGCCGGCCCAATGTACCGACTGGTGCATGAACGTTGGCGACATCGAGACTGATGAGGCGCGCCTTCCAACTTGTTTGATTCTTTTCTGTCCTGACTTGCTTGAAGAATGTCTTAGGGAAGATGTCATTTTCTAAATCCTATATATGCACATGTCCTCATTTGATTGCCACAGTTGCGAAACCGTTTGCTCGTGCAAGAAGTCCTATAGTTTTGAAAGAAAACATCCTGAAACGTGGATTGAGTTGCACTTGACAGGGCATCAAACAGTTTCATTCTGAAGGGAGACGTTGAAGACAACGAACGCAGGGTGTTAGACACACACTCGCAACCTTTGCATGATTGCAGGGCATGCGTTTGCAGCTCGCCGACTTATAGTTTTGGGATCAAAGAGTTGCAAGGAAAGCTCATTGTGTGAACCATGGTTGTGAGCGCGGAGGCACTGAGTGAGATCCAGGCCAGTGTCACGCAGGCCCAAGATGGGCAACTTGTGCAAGCGATGCACAAGCTCATGAATGCGTTGGCCAAGCACGGTCTGGTCCGCACCTCACAGTTGAGACCTGATGAAGTGGGGCGCCACCCCATGAACAGGGACGGATTTGGTTTGTCACCCCATGACGTCCATGCACTTGTGGACGGTTTGTCGGAGGTTGGGTGGGACTCGAGAGAGACGAATCCAATTTGTGGGGAAATTTCAGATCACGCCATGGCGCTAGGATTCAATGAAGCCTTGGCGACGAGTTCTCGGGGCCTCCTGTCGCCTGTCCAATCAACCCAAATGCGGTATGCATCGTTGGCAAACTCACATACGAATGCTGCCTTACGATGTTTGGCCCATGAAGTTGCACACACTGAGACAGAGTGTGCGCTGGTGCTTGAGGGCAGGCTCTCTATGGCCAGGGCCAAGAGCCATGACCCACAGTTGTTCAAGGCTGCGCAGGAGGGCATGGTTTGGAGGGTGATTGCGAGAGAAGCTCTGGAGATACATGGCGTGGCCCAATTGATCCAATCAGCTTCCAACACCAGTGGCCATTTACAACGGGGAGAGCATGAATGGCAAATCTTGCTTCGCATGAAGAGCCTGATTGAAAGGTCCACCTCTCCTCCAGAGTGGAGCCAGGTTCGGAAGGAGATCTGCAGAACCAAACCGGCTTGCATCGAGGCCACACCATACATGTACCAATTCCTCCTGAGATTCATGCACAAGGAGCTCTTGGGAAAGGTCGAGGAAAGAATCAAGAAGAGTGTGAGCTCAAAGAAATCTTTGGGCGCAGACTTTTACATGGCCTTGAGTGGGAACTCCAAAGATTGGAAGGTGCAGGGTCTTTTGTTTCGGCATATGCTGCTGGCTCTGGCCTACACATCAGACAGGGTGCAGGCCAGCGATTGTCGGCGCATGCTGTCGAAGGATTTCAGCCAGAAACTCACCGCCGCAGAAGAGATGTCTACCAAGATCTTGAAGATGTTGAAGAAGGCTGATGTCAAGGAGAAGGGCACTGATGTACAGGAAAAGTACGAAACTTTCCAAGACTCGCTGGTGTTGCAAGCCTTGGAGAAGGTCAAGGCGACTCCAGAATCCGTGGCGTGTGAGTTGATGGATGAACTTGAGGAGCTTCTCGGCACGCGGCTTTCCACCGAGTTCGATGATCATAGGAAAACTACCAGTTCCAGTGCACCTCCTGCAGGAAGCGCGGGTCCCTCAGCAGCTTCGCCGACCGGACAGTTTCAGCAAGAGTTTCATTTCGCACTTTTTTTGTCGAATGGTTGGAACAAAACGATCGTCGCATAAGTGTTTACAACGGAGTCCTTTGGTGAGCAAATATGAAAACACTGTCATTAGAGTGCATTCCTTGCATTGTTCAGTCACAACTCTTTGTCAAAGCTGCAGGCTCATGTTTCATTTGACTTTTCATTTGATAGAAACAACGTCATTGCAGAACTCCTTGCGTTGTACATGCCGTCACAAGTCTTTGTCAAAGCTTGAGGCTCCGTGAGTACGATGAGTTTGGGAAGCTCAAGGATGAGGCCGTGCTGGTGAGAGAGCACGGTTTTGTTCAGGGCGCTTCGATTGTTCGAAAGAAGGACAAAGTCAGGGCCACAATTGAGAATGTGACGGGCTCGAAGGTCAAATTGTCTTTGGACGCGGAGGATGTTACTGGATACTTTGAGCTGTCGACCGGATCCTTTTTGAGAGGAGAATGGAAAGTAGTCAAAAAAAACATCCTGAAATCGTGCAGTATAGTTTTGACGTGTTCTCCGGCCACACCGGGCTCAACTCAGATGCCATCAACAGCTTGTGCGCCAAGGGTGAGGTGGCAAGGCGCCTCATTGAATTGGAGAATCAGCATGCCAAAGTCCTTGAGGGGTTGAAACTCCAGGTGAAACCTTCCAAGGCAGTTTTCTCCACCAAATCCTTTGCGAAGAACAAATTAGTTCTCATCCCATCAACGTGGAAGATTGAAACGCAGGAGACTAGCTCTGGCATTTCTCTTGGAACTATCAGAGGTGTGCCCTTGAGCCTTTTTCCCGCCTTCGTGCATTCCAAGGACGGCGACTTGACTGATTCCTTCCTGCAGCCGTTTTGGATGGTGAAGAGGACCCATGTCCTTGAAGAGGCCAATTGTGAGATTCGCCCAGACTTGCAGGGTTCAGAGAACAATTCAGTCAAAGTCCCATGTATGTACAACACAGTTGCTGTGAGTGACAGAGATGAGCTGGTTGTGTACGTGCCTCAAGTGAACGTGGACGATGAGCTAGAGGCCCTATCTCGCATTGAGGCTGCGCCCCCGGCCAAGCGTTTCAGAACCAAAGCCAAGGACTAGGGCGCTGGAGATGTCTCGACGACCGATACCGTTGAATGTTAGATCTTTTGCGGTGCCGCGCGCACCATGTCAAGACTTGAAGGAACTGTGGCCTAGAAAAACACGAGTGCGCTGGGTCCTCAAATGTTCATGTGAGGTCTAAATAAGTTTGGTGTGTCCATTGGTTTGCAACGCTGAGTCCAAACTGCAGTCTGCATGGTGCACAAACTGCTGTATGTATCATTGGAGGTTGGTTGGTCGCATGACTTTGAGCCGGGAACCTTGTGTGATAGACAGGGCCAATGAAGAAATGAAGAAGTGTGAACAATGATTTCTTGACAGTAATTATTGACAGTGTGATTGCAAGAACTGTTGGTGGGCGAGCTTGTCATCTTATACAGTGAAGCAATAGTTCTTGCTTGCTTGTGATGTCACCGTAAAGCTAAAGCTTCCTAAACCTTGGAATGTGTGTTGCAGAGTTTCTTGATCTGCAGGGCTTGTTGTATCTCAAGCTCGCACGTCTTGGCAGGGTCGAGTACGTCACTCGACTCGCACACAGCTCTTTGACTGCCGATGGCCGACGATGCAGACAGTGAGATTGAAGTGGAGGAGACTGAGGGGAATCCCTTGGATCCAGCTTTCTTTGTCATGAAGCCGACATGGTGCCTCACATCAGGAACAGTGAAGTGGTACCCTGAGATTGACACACAGGGAGGAGTGGATTTTGTGAGGCTGAGCAAATTTGATCGCCATTTTGTCAAGTTCTGTCTGCAGAGGCCCATGGATTTGTCTCGAGGTGTTGGCAGGTCGGCCAACAGCACCTTGTTTGAGGATCTGCTGTCTCTGAGAAAGACAGCCAGCGTCGCCTCAGTGAGCGCACAAATGGAGATGCCTGAAACAGAGGTGGATGACGCTGCAGCAATGACAAAACGCCGCAAGAAACGAGTACGTGATGAAGATGTGTGCTTGGTTGATCCTGTCGTGACGATTTGGCTCCCAGAGCTTGAGTTCAAAGGTGAAACATTTCCTTCACGCGAAGTCAAGGTGCTGTTTGGGGTGAAGTCCAAGGCACTGTGGATGGAGTTGAGCCATGACAATCTCACGTACATGCGCGCGTTGGTTCAGAAGGGTGAGGGACAAGCTCCTGCGCGGAAGAAGCGGAGCTCGCCAAAGAAGAAGCTTCGACGCGGGAAGCCTTTGAGCCCGTCACCAAAGAAAAAACGAAGGCAGCCAAATTCAATTCCTGAAACCCAGCTCTATGAGGATGAGCCCATGCCCAAGAGCCCTGAGTATGTGGAGGTGCCAAGCACTCAGGTCGACTCAACGCTCCATCATTTTGATGTTGGCAGTAGTTAGGCCTTTTCGCAGAGGCCTTTGAGTGGATTTTTGAAAGGGGATGGATCCCTCGAGTGTGGCCTGCTGTATCTAGATCCGAGCGCGAGCGCTGCTGTATGGCCCTGCTAAGAAAGTTGCGAGCACTGTTGTTTTGGCCCTGCTTTGAGGTTTCAGTTGCACGTCAATGTAATCAAGTTCTAACTCACCCGGTCAGCGGCGAACTGGGAGTGGCACTGGGTACTAAAGCAGGCAGACGTTAGATCACTTGCCACGCACAGGTATGCCTTTGCATTCCGTGTCGTTCACCGCGCCGTGAGGTTGTAACCCACCATTGGCGTCCTTTTGCAACTGTCGGGGCCCTCAACTGCTGATGTCGACCTGCAGAAGGGGAAAAGCTTGCTTGATTTTGAATAGGTATTGAACGCTTTCAAACTTTGAGCAATCTTTGGAGCGTCAATGATTGTGGTTGAAATAATACATCATGATTGTACTTGAAGATTCATTGCATGGCATTGAAGCTTTGAGCACATTGAGACGGTTGCGCATCATCCACCATATCGCACGGCGGCTGCTCAAGACGGATGCCATGTTTGGCATGGGCCAACTTGGCATGTTTTCATGATTGTTCATGCATGCATGACGTGATACATGTGCCATTATATGATGTGTATGAGCCTTTACCATGCAGTGCACAGGTACCTCCAATGATTCCAACGATTAACCTCCAAATACTCCTGTTCAACACGCCCGATGTCCTCAAGGGATACCTCATTAACCACTGTGCCAGAACTGGACAATATATAGTTCACACATTCCCATACAACTTCACACCACGAATACAACTTCACACCACCACTCACGATGCATCCAAACGTTCCCTCAACCACAGTTCCAATTTCATCCAATTGGCACACCCCAATTCGATTTGAGCTGATGGAGAAGCCGGCCAACCAGAATGTCAAGAAGCGGCATGCTGACGCGGGAGCTGGGGCGCTGCAGAAGATTACACCACCGTAGACCCCAAACAGTTTGTGTTTTTCGAATCGGAACACTCTGCAGCCTGCGACGTCCAGAGCTGGGAGACAAAGGATTGCAAGGCAGAGGCGGCCACAGCAGTCCAGAGCTGGGAGACAAATGTAGACACAGGGAGACAAATGTGCAAGCGAGATGGAGACAAATGCAAAGGCTTGCGAGGACACATGTAAAGGATTGCAAGGCAGAGGCGGACACAGCAGTCAGAGCTGGGAGACACATGTAAAATTAAGGATTGCAAGGGAGAGGCGGACACAGCAGCCCAGTAAAGGATTGCAAGGCAGAGGCGGACACAGCAGTCCAGAGCTGGGAAGAAGAGGAGACAAATAAAAGGAAGTGGGAGACAAGCCAGCCGGGAACCCGACCAGAAGCACCCAGCCTGGGAGACAAATGAAAAGAACTGGGAGACAAGTGAAAAGAAGTGGGAAACAAATTAGCCCAGCTGGAGACCCCAATAGCAAGATACAAACCGGGACAAAAAGAAAAATCTGGAAACAGCTGCTGTTTTCAACACATCGACCATCTCTTCCTTGGACACCATCATCACATAACCGGGACACGATCACAAAATGACCAGGGCACCATCATGGAAAAAAACATGACCGAGACACCGTCACAACATGATTGGGACACCATCACAACATAACCAGGACACCATCACAAGGTGACCGGGACACCAGCATGACATGACGGGGACACCATCACAACATGACCGGGACACTATCACAACATGACCGGGACACCGTCACATGACCCGAACACCATCAAAACATAACCGGCACACCGCCAAAACATGACCAGGACACCATCACAACATGACCGGGACACCATCAAAACATGACCGGGACACCGTCACAACATGAGCGAGACACCATCACAACATGACTGGGACACCGTCACAACACGACTGGGACACAATCACAACATGACCGGGACACCATCACAAGGTGACCGGGACACCAACATGACATGACGGGAAAACCATCACAAGATGACCAGGACACCATCACAACATGACCGGGACACCGTCACATGACCCGGACACCATGAAAACATAACCGGCACACCGCCAAAACATGACCAGGACACCATCACAACAGGACCGGGACACCATCAAAACATGACCGGGACACCGTCACAACACGACCGGGACACCATCAAAACATGACCGGGACACCATCACAACATGACCGGGACACCATCAAAACATGACCGGGACACCATCAAAACAGGACCGGGACACCATCACAACATGACTGAAACACAGTCAAAACATGATCGGGACACCATCACAACATGACCGCGCCACCATCACATGATCGGGACACCATCAAAACATGACCGGGACACCGTCACAACATGATCGGGACACCATCACAACATCACCACGCCACCATCACATGATCGGGACACCATTACAACATGACCGGGACACCGTCACAACACGACCGGGACACCATCAAAACATGCCCGGGACACCATCACAACATGACCGGGACACCATCACAACATGACCGGGACACCTTCAAAACATGACCGTGACCGGGACACCATCAAAACATGACCGGGACACCATCAAAACCGGACCGGGACACCATCACAACATGATTGGGTCACAATCAAAACATGATCGGGACACCGGGACACCAGCATCACATGACCCGGACGCCATCAAAACATGACCGGGACACCATCCGCCCACCAGCTCTGACGGTGACCCAACGGCGCCCGTCCGCCTATTAGTTTTGCAAGACCCCATCGCATGGCTATTGGGGAATGGAAGGAAGTGGGAGACAAGCCAGCCAGGAACCCCGACCTGGGACAAATGAAAAGAACTGGGAGACAAATGAAAGGAAGTGGGAGACAAGCCGGCCGGGAATCCGACCAGACCATCCAGCCCGACCAAAAGCGTGGGAGACAAATGAAAAGAACTGGGAGACAAGTGAAAAGAAGTGGGAGACAAATGAAAGGAAGTGGGAGACAAGCCAGCCGGCAACCCGACCACAAGCACCCCGCCTCGGAGACAAATGAAGAACTGGGAAACAAATGAAAAGAAATGGGAGACAAGCCAGCCGGGAACCCGACCACAAGCACCCAGCCTGGGAGACAAATGAAAAGAACTGGGAGACAAATGAAAGGAAGTGGGAGACAAGCCGGCCGGGAACCAGACCATCCAGCACCAAGGCGACCATTCACAGTAAACTTTTTGGGGAATGAAAAGAAGTGGGAGACAAATGAAAGGAAGTTGGAGACGAGCCAGCCAGGAACCTGCCCACAAGCACCCAGCCTGGGAGACAAATGAAAAGAAGTGGGAGACAAATGAAAGGAAGTGGGAGACAAGCCAGCCGGGAACCCGACCACAAGCACCCAGCCTGGGAGACAAATGAAAAGAATTGGGAGACACATGAAAGCAAGTGGGAGCCCGGAACCCGACCACAAGGAACAGCCTGGGAGACAAATGAAAGGAAGTGGGAGACACATGAAAGCAAGTTGGAGACAAGCCAGCCGGGAACAAGCCAGCTGCTAACCCGACCACAAGCACCCAGCCTGGGAGACAAATGAAAAGAACTGGGAGACACATGAAAGGAAGTGGGAGACAAGCCAGCCGGGAACCCGACCACAAGCACCCAGCCTGGGAGACAAATGAAAAGAAG